ATATTAGATTTTGGAAGATTTGCATTAATTTTTTTTAAGATGTGATTAGGTTAATAGCCCTTAAGATTTCTCTAGAAATCTCTCTTGTACTATTTCTACATTTGGCTTTGATTTGAGCATTAAAACCTAGATTGGTTGGATAGATTGTTCACCTAAAAATATGTATCGGATTGTTGGATCAACAATCTGAATCAGGTCTGGATCGGTCTGAATGAAATAAAAATAAAACTAGGGATTTATGGGGTGAGGAAGGGACCTATGAAAATATTAGGCAAGTTACAAAAAAAAGAAAAAATATTATAACAGGCGAGTTTTAGGGAGAATCGCGTCGTGACTTATACCATTCTAAAACTGATTCCCGTTTGAACTAATTCCCATCTAGATTTGCGATCTTGGAAAGAAATTGCTAGAATTTAAAACACTAGATTAGAAAAAGGGTATGAAGAAAAATCTCTCTCTTTCTAGGTCACCTAGCTGGGGTTCAATTTTCATTGAATAACATGTGTCCTACACTTAATGCCACATGAGATTTCCAATGTCCCCCCTTCAAAGGGCAGTTTGATATATGTACATGTAATATATTTGTTGATTAGTACTACGTTTAATGTCACATGACATTTCCAATGGCCCCTTCAAATGGCGGTTTGATATTTGTACATGTAATATCTATGTGGAGTATGTAATATCTATGTGGAGTATCTATGTGGAGTAGTAATAAAATGGGTAGGCGTTGTCATCCCATTGATTTGCCCCCAAAAAAATTAAAAAAAAAAAAATTGTGGATCTCCATATACTGAACGAAAATAATATTAAAAATCAAACTCTAACACAACATGCTGGCGGTCCATATTGATCAGATTCTCATAGGTCATCTAGTCTTGTTCCATAGGGCAGGTGGCTCTCCAATAAATACCTATTTCTAGGAAAAATACATAATACTTCATCTAGTCTCGTTCCATAGGGCAGGTGGTTCTCCAATGAATATCTATTTCTAGGCAAAATACATAATATTGAAAATGTATATAATGAGGCCATTGGCCACAATTATCATTGACCGTTAGATTTGAGATCGAGTGATTGATGGTGTATCATTGTGGTGCACAATGTGCAGGACAAAATTATTTGAATGTTGTGACCCAATTTCATCTTTTCGATTTCACATCCAATAGTAAAAAATGATTGTGACTTCTTTGTACAAAAAAATAAATGGTCTCATAGCATACAATTTCAACTATCCGGGTCCAACCTTATTCTCGAGCACTAACTCTGTCCGTTTTTTTCATTATTTGATTTTATTTTTTTTGCAGACTGATAAAGCATCCATGTTGGACGAGGTGATAGAATACCTTAAGCAGTTGCAAGCTCAAGTACACATGATCAGTAGGATGAACATGTCCCAAATGATGATGCCCATAACCATGCAACAGCTTCAAATGGCCATGATGGCCCAAATGGGCATGGGCATGAGCATGGGCATGGGTATGGGCATGGGCATGGACATCAACTCAGCCATGAGACCAGCTGCAATCCCCAATGGCATGCCCCCCATCATCCATCCAGCATTCCTCCCGTTTCCCATGTCGTGGGATAATTCCGGCGATCGTCTCCCGGCTTCCGGCAATGTCATGGAGGATCCTTTCTCAGCCTTCCTTGCATGTCATCCACAAGTATGCATAAAAGTTCCTTAATTTTCTTTGTTTTTATTTTTTATTTGTTTTTTTCTATTTTTATTTTTATGGTTTTTTAATATACAACTTTTTGTTAATTTTGTTTCTGGGCGAGTAGGATGGGATGCAAACTTGGTTTTTCCATATTCTTTTTGTTCATTTGTTTTTAAGCTAATTCTTTTTGTTCATTTGTTTTTAAGCTAATTTTGAATTACAACATTCACATGCATTTATATAAGGGTGCGGTTTGTATAGAGCTTAGGCTCTAAACAATCAAATTAGAGTCTACCTTCAAATTAGAGCCTACCTTCAAATAGTGTCAAGAAATATGATTTCAATATTAGAAATTTTGATAGCCTTAAAATATATTTTCATCTTTATTTATAAATTTTAAAGCTTCAAAAATAGTGTAGATCGAGAGATCTATGAAAACTTGAAAATCTTGAAAATTGACGGCTCAAAAATGCCTTACAAAATACACTATTTCCAAAAATTGAAATGTATTTTTTTCTCATAGCCATGTATCTTGATATCGAGATAATCATTTTGAGGATTTGGGCATCAAAACAACGTGGTGAAATTTTTGAGGCAGGTTATAATTTGATTGTTTTGAGCTTCAGCTCTATGTAAATTTTGAACTTCAGCTCTATGTAAACTTTTTCGTAAAGTACATGACCATTTAGCTTTGGTACACGAACGTTATAATCATCATTAGCTATCAAATATATAATGTAACATTAACGGGAAGGCCCGAAAAAACCTTCCTCAAACCCTGTATAGAGAAACACCCTAGCCCTCCAATTTTACATCTGATTGCTTAAGCCGCTTAGGACCATTATGTAACAGTCTCATTGTATACAATCCCAAAACATTCTTGCCTTTCAGGAACAAATGGCAGTGAAATTATCGTTTAGAAATACTGGACGTTTTTTGTGTAGATAATTCTCATAAAATTATCGTTTAGAAAATTTCCAAATTTACTTCTTATTAGTTTTAAACAATAAAAATTTTATCTTCATTTATAAATTTTATTATCATTTTTAAAATTTTCCAACTTTATTTCTTATTAAATTTATAAAACTAAAATTTTATCTCCATTTACAATTTTGTATATCAATTTTTCTTTGTTGTTTGTTTTGCAGTCGATGACTATGGATGCATATGGTAAAATGGCTGCCTTGTACCAACATCTCCATCAACAGCAGACACCACCAAACACCAGTGTCTCTCGTGACTAGAAAGAAAATATATTTTAGTAAATGAAGTTTTAATAAATGCTATATTTTGTTTCACTCTTTGTATAGTTTATTTGTAATTAAATTTAGGCCAGTATATTTTTTTTTGGCACATGCATGTATGTATAGTGCACGAAGCATTGAATATGTTTTAGATGATTTTTCATGGAGCGGAGTATCCGTAGATAATGTCTTAGCTTTTTTGAACATTGTAGTCAAAAGAGAAATTTGTTCGTGTATATATATATATATGTTGCAATTAAAAAAAAAATCCTTTTTTTGTATATTACATACATCTCTTTTTTGTCCTCATTTTTTTCTTTTCTCAATTGTACCCTAATTCTGTCACAAATCACTTTGGATTTTCAATATCCATAATCATATTATTATTTTTTCAAAATTTTCAAGATAAATTTAGAAATAAAAAAATAAAGTCAAGGATATTGAAAATCCAAAGTGAATTTCAAATTTTGGATATCCAATATCCAAAATTGTATGGAAATAGATTTCTTTGCAATTTTGAATAACCAAAATCCAGAGGCCAAAAAGTGAGTTCTTGATTTTCAATATCTGAAGTGACTTCAAATTTTACCTAATAAATGTATTTTACATGAAGGACAATTACATCGTAAGATATTTCACTTTTTTTACGTTTAGCATGAAAATGTCTTAATCACCCCTAGATGTAAAATCTAGAGGTGAGGGATGTATCAATGATTATGCTCAAAGTCTGAAAAAAAAATTTCAAATCTTTTTGACAAAACCCATCCACCCAATTTTACATATGACGGTTAAAATAGTTTGCAACATCACAACATGTCGCCCATTCTTTTATGTCCTATGTTACATGTATCAGTTAACATGTATGCTACATGTTAACGGCAACTTCTATTGCAAGCAACGTATGGTTAGGATGAAATTTTCATCTACCCAGCGATTGACAAATAGATAATTTATTAGTTTACGTTACTCTTTGTATTAGATGGTTCGAGTTGTATCTCTTCAATTGGCTTCTGGAGAATTTTAGAAGCTTATGAAGGCACGTAAAAAAAGCCCCTACGATATACCATTTACTATAATTAAATGAAAAAAAGAAAGACCTTATGACATTTTTATTTGTTATTTAATCAAGAGGAATCTATCAAAATGGGTATCGACCATTTAACAATTTATCTTTTTTTAATTATTTCGTGTATTTTGATGGGTTTATGAAATTTTAAAAAAAAAAGAAAAATGTGTTTATATTATTTTTTAATATTAACATTATTTCTCATACTCTACTACGTTCTTATTTCTTTATTTAATTGTGTTTTTGAATGTGAAGCTTCTTTTTTATTAGTTCTTTAAAATTTTTACGAAAATTTTTTTTAATTCTTTGTTTTTCGAGTAATTCGGTAGGCAAGACATGCTCTTACCTATTTTTTCAAATAACTTAATAGTTAATTTATTGAAAGTGTTAGCAAGGTGATGTCAGTGAAAATGAAAATTACATGCCGCTGACCAGACTGTGGAGGTGCTACACCATGATGCTGAGAACTGAGTTCACGACAACGTTGAGAACTGCGTTCTAAACTCGATTGAACTAAGTTGGGTGAGGACCCACGCAATTATTGATTTTCTTTCCTCCCATCTTTTGTCAATGTCAAGGGTCCTTTCATTATTTAATTCCTGTCTTTATCAGCTTCATTGACTAATTCCATTCAGGTGGACCACACTATACAAATTTCATATGCCAAAAAAAGTCTGGTTGTTTTGAGTTTGATGGGTAACATGGTGTGTCCACAAAAAGCTAAACAATTGATATGACGTTCGCCAAACAAGGACTAAATCTTCACCACAAACTCTAGTTGCCAAGTGATCACATAAGTGGATCTTTTTTCCCTCTTGGCACCAATCATTATTCATTGGGAGGAGATAAGTGAAACACAACATGTTGTCATGCACACATACATCATCTTGTTTGGACCCTTCTTTGAGTGGTGTCATTCAATTAAGTCACAAGAGATTAACATGTATCATAAGGCCTGTCATTTGATTGGAAGGGTGTTCTCCTTTTGTTTTGTGGGGTGAACTGAGTTTTGAAGCTTGCACTACATGATTAAGGCCCTTGAGTCATGATCAATGATCAAGAGGTGTTCTAGGACAATTATAATCCCTTTTCTTCCTCTAATTTATTGAAGGGGAAATTTTTTTATTGTGGTCCTTTTCAAAAAATCTACAAATGGATTTAGACATATGGATATAGAAAAAACAATGAAGGATTTCTAATCCTTAAAAGAGTGGATCATCTAGCACGTTATTTGGGTCGTCCATTTTCTTGAGTGTCAAATTTTTTATATTTGCTCAATCTCCATCATTTTTGGAGGTTTAAATTTCATAATTAAGGGTAAAAATAGGTTTTTAGGCCATCACATGGGTTTTTGGCGCCAGAACTACATTTTACACTAAGGTTTGGAGGTGTGATTTAGATTGTTTAAGGCTTCAGCCTTAAACAACCAAAGTAAGGTGCACCTCAAAAACATGTTGAAAGATGCAATTTCGATGTATGATGGTTTGAATGCCTATTTTTACCCTTTATTATGAAATTTAAAGCTCCAGAACTTGTGAATATCGAGTAAATCTATAAACCCCTGAAAATCGTGAAAATGTATGATCTAGATAATGTTGTTACAAGAGGCACTACATGTAGGACTGGTAATATTTTTTTACAAAAATATACATACATCTCAAATAATCAATTGGAGGGTTTTTCAGCATACAAACAATAGTTTTCAGAGGGATTTTGAGGTTCACCTCACTTTTATAGTATAAGGTGACCCACTATATAAATTTTTTCCTATGTATTTATATTTGGCTAGCTAAATACCATAATCTATTTCTTTTGTTTCTATTTATTATCTCTTTTTGCTTTTATAAAAGTTAGATTTGAAAAATCAGTGAGATATTTTAATGAAAGAGTGATATGACTTTTGTTCTTTACACACATTTGAAAGTCTTTGGGGTATTTTATATTATAAATTAACTATTTGTATTTTTTAACATATGCACTATAGTAATTGCTAAATTTGAGCTTAATCAAGTTTGGTAGAAAACAAAATGAAAAGAAATTAGAATACATACACTCTATCATCCAATCAAGATTAAATGAATGAAATTTTTGTTTTTAAATAAAAAACAGTAGTTCTGACGTCCAATGTTTGAACTGCTCACTTGGACTAAATAAAAGGACAAGGCGCACGGTTAAGACATAAGATGTACGAAACTACCCACACGTGTCATTCATACACGTGTCGATGGTATGGATATTGGTGTCCAATGTTTGAAACACTCACTCTTTAAGTGAAATAATGGTTCTACAACCCAGTTACGAAAAAAGGGATTTAGACATCCAATTTGAGAACTGCTTTCCATTTAAACCCAAAAGGTAAGAATAATCTTGATGTCGAAACTGGGGGTATGATAGAAAATAAAAAAACATAAAATAGGTAAGACTTGAGTATAAAATATAACTTACATGAAATAAATTTTAAATTTTGATATTTATAAGAGAACGTATTTTTAATATTCACTTACGATTTAATAAAACGAAAACCGTTAGGGGAGACTATCATTAAAAGAGGACGACTAACATCTCGTGGATTTGTTACATTGAGCCAGAATCAGTTGAAATTTTTGGTGAGTCATGGGAACGCTTTCTATGTCACCTCACACACATATATAATATATGTGATCTCTAGTCTCAGTCATCAGATCTAAGTAGATGGCTAAGATGGCTTGAGTCACAATATCACAAATTGACTTTTAACCATCAGATTTTGATCGGACAGTTCAGAGTTTTTATTTTTTATTTTTATTATATAAATCATTTTAAAACAAAATTTGGGGGATGCATAAATCTGACATGGATGCACATGATAAAAATAACAATAAAATATTTTTTACAATGAAAAGTTACCAAAATACCCTTAAAATGTTAGGAGCATTTTGGTCATTTATTTTTATAAAAAATATTTATTTCTTTATTTTTTACCAAGTTCGCCCTAATTTTATGAAGGGACGTCCAAAATTTTATCCAAAAATATTTTGTAAAAAAAAAAAGATAAAAAATAAAACAGTATTAGGTGTGACATTAAGGTATGACAAGCTTTCGATTCAAAACGAACGGCTAAGAAGTGGGGCCACATGTAACTTATATGTTGTTGGGGCCACATAGAAACATTTCCCGTGAGTCATAGTGGCTAAAATCCTAGAACTAAGCATAGAGATTCAAGTCTTGCATTTGCCATGATCTAATGAGATTTCGATAGCATAGCGAAAAAATGTACCCTCCATGTCAATGTCAGCATTTAAAAATCGGATTCGGGACCTAAACATCAATTTTGGTATAGACTCAGCCGGTCCAACCCGGTCAATTTATGAGACGAGTTATGCAACAGTAAATAAATAAAATTACAAAAACAGAGAAACCAGGAGAATCAGGGCAATTCTGGGGTTCTACCACCCAACTGTTAATTCTTATCTAGATTGGGTAATATCAAATTGGATCAGCGATTTCCTCTGTATTGCAAGCCATTTCAAAGAAGACAATAACAGGGTCGTGTGCCGAGATTTGCCTGGGCCAAGGAACTCACCCCCACCCCCTAGCCGAGGCGAGTTACTCGCTGTATATGGACGAAAGGCCCTCAATAAATCGAAAAAAATTCAAAAAAACATAAAAATATATTACACGCAGAATACGTAATACCAATTAATTTACCAATAAATCAGTTCCTTTCTACAAACATTTCATTTAGTACCTCTTTATTATTTCCAAAAAAACATGCCCAAATCCTCCATTCCATATTTGAACCTCAATAAGAGAAGGCATTTTGGTCAATATTCTATTTAATCAAGCCAAATTAACATGTACTTTTTAGTAACAAATTTTGTTATCCGAAACAAGTAAGGGTGTTTTCATCTTTGAGCTAGAGTGACTTATTTAAGGCAAGTTTACCAAAATATTGATGCTTGTTATGGGTTGAAACTCAAAGAAGTAGTTTCTTAATGAAAAGGCATATCTTGAGTTTGTAGCCCAGAATAAGTAATGTTACTTGCCCCATTTGGCAAAAGTGACTTAATTATGTCAAAATTTTTAATTATCCTCACTTGTTTAGAATTACAAACTTCAAATGAGGGCAATTTGAGCAATTTTTAACA